GCAATTCACATTTCCTCGATCTTTGATGTATAGAGGTTAATTTTGGCATGATTTGGACCGACTATTTAATAATATGCAATGTTTATCTGCTTAATACAGTGTGAACTCTTAGTGTATGTTGAGCATCGTCACCTGAACTTTAACCTTGACACTGCTGAACCACGATTTATGTACCTTGCCAGTTAAAAGCGATATTCCTGTAGAGATTCTGCTCAGAGCGTTAGCAGGCTGTACTGATGATTCCCACGGTCATTCGCTCGCAGAGATCCTTCAGTGTTTAAGGCTGTGGAATATCTGAATATCCCTCACTTTTGTTTTTTTTTCGCTCGAAATTTGATTTTTCATCAGGATTTAGGTGTATTGCTTCACTTTCAGAGTTCGTGATCGATTGCCGCTTGCCGAGTCACGTAAGCATCTCCCATTCATCTATTTCATAACACCAACCTATCGAAGGCCTACGCAAAAAGCCGATCTCATCCGCTTGGCGCAAACACTCGGTAAGCGTTGTTTCATGATATTGCTTTGTTTGTAGACAAATTTTTGGTGGAAAATCGTTTTATGGATAAGTTTTGTTTTGACAAAAATTTATGTAGAGAAGTAGTTCGGCTGCTTCTGTACATAAATTTTTGTTGAAAAATCGAGTTATGGGTAAGTTTGTTTCCTTTAATGACGGGCAAGTTTGGGTTGGATTCCAGAACATCAATCCTTTTAGATTTGGGTTGCATTATGACTCCTGCACAGGTTTTATTTCATGCTGTCCTCAGTGTTAGTTCAGTTAACCCAACATTTGCCCCCACTGTGCGCTTATGGTCCGTTTCTTCTGCTTTTTATGAGGTTTTACATAAAATACTTCCATCCGCGTTCTTCGCTTAGTCCCAGTTACAGTTGCATTGTATACGTTTCCTCCATCCTCCCCTCCTTTCCTTCTTATATTGCAACAAAGGAATGCAACGTAGACTGTTTCCTAGTATTTCTTCGTTCCTCCGTTATGCAAATTGATCCCTTCGATCCTAATATTTTGAGTAATTCACCACAAAAATATGTTTTGGCCACAAATTCAACTCTCTGTTTATGTATATGTATGACTGCGTGCTACGATGATTTAACCACCATGAGTTGTTCTTTTACAATTATTCAACTTTTCATGGATCTCTCTGTCTCAGTGCCAAAACTACGAAATTTTTTTGATAATTGTTTTTGATTGAAAGTCGCTCGACGTAGCTGGTTTTTTCAGCATCTGTTCCGAATCTGTGTTGGATTGTGGTTGAGGATGCCAACGATACGTCTCAGTTTGTTGCCAATATCTTCAAAAGATACCGCATCAAATTTGCTCATTTGCATGCGTTGACTCCGCGCGATAAGAAGCCCAATGAGACGGATCCGAACTGGAAAATGACACGAGGAGTGATGCAGCGGAACAGGGCTCTTTTATGGCTAAGGTTTTGCTTATTCAGTTTTTTCATAATATTAGACATTTTCTCGTCTCCTTACTCTCTTTATCCTTTGCTTTCACTCATCCTTCTAGCAAATTAGCTTAATGTCCTTTCAATACATGGTGGGTAGGAGGCTGTACTGACGATTCTCACTCCTACCCGCATGCATTGTCCGGTCTGTGTTTATAGCTAAGGGATGAAACACGGAGACTGCATCGAAAAATATCACCCCACTACATCTAAAAGATAAAGGCAATTTGCACCATAAAATAACACCATACACATGGCCTGCATACAATTCTGTTGGTCTGTTATTTCACAAACCCTCTCTCCTGTTCAATTTGCCCATCTTTTCCCCTATGATTTTGTTGTTTCAGGAGGAACTTAAGCAGTCTCAAGCGCGGGGTAGTGTATTTCGGTGATGACGACAACACCTACGACCAGAGATTGTTTGATGAGATGCGAACCATACAGAAAGTGGGTGTCTGGCCAGTCGGCCTTGTTGGCGGCCAAATTGTGGAAACTCCAATCATTCTGGCTGGTAAGCACTGCACAACTTCCTGTTATGCATCAACCGTTGCCGTTGGTGTGGTTCTTTATCAGCGCAAAATTTATAATTAAATTAATTCTTAGCCGATTGTGGCATCCAGATTGGCCCTAGGAGCCTAAGTGGCAAAGACACGATAGACTAGAGAAAGCGAGAACAATATGAGAAAAGAAGGCAGGGGTGAGGTAAGACGTTTCGATCCATAAATCATATACGTCTTAACTCAACACAGCAACAGGACCTTGTCAGTATGACGACCGCAGTGCTTAGTGAGGAAAAGGAAGAGAAAGGACAAAAGAAAGGAAGGGAAAAGAGGGAGTGAGAAAAGGGTGAAGAGAAGAAGCGAAGATAAGAAGGAGAAAAAAGGGTTTAAAAAAGTTCAGAAAAGGGTCCAAAAAATTTTTTAAAAAAATTCTGAAAAAAATTAAAGCAGAATTTAGAAAAAGGGTTAAAAAAGTTTAATAGCGAACCTCGATCATGGAGGTTTTATTGTTGGTAAAATTATTCGTGGAGCCGTCGTAGCTACAGATTTTACTTCTGTTTACGGTAACCATAACTGATAAAGAATGTGGTGGTAAGAGGAAGACACGGGGAACAAGACAAAGATGAACGTAACACGAGAGGCATAAGGAACGGAAACGAGTGAGGGGTTATAGAGACAAACAGTATTATTAACCTCAACAAGTTTGCTTTTTTTAACAAAATGTTATTACGAACTTATAGAGTTTGCTGTTTCTCAGTGCATTTTGGAGCACCCTGGTTGTCTTCATCGCTGAATTTCGTCCCAGTTTTCCATTTCACTGTGGTGAATGGCACCTCATCATTCTCACACCTTCGTTATATATATGTGTTCTTAAATTTCTACGAGATCTTTCAGACAATCGGATAACTTTCAACTCAAAATGGAAACCAGAACGACCGTTTCCTATTGACATGGCCGCGTTT